CTTAATATCGCCTCCGGTACTCCGGCCTCTAAATCCCGACCTACCACCCTCTTCGCCCTACCCATTTCGTCTCATATAGTGTTTGCCTAAATTATATATTTTTCAAAAATATTTTCTACTACCTAACTAAATACTGAAAAAAAAGAGAGTAAGAAAATCACTTATTTTCTAATAATAAATTTTCCTTCATACCAAACACACCCTACATTAATAAATTTTATTGTAGAGCATGGAGGGAAAAAATCTTTAATGTTGAAAGTTAAACTCTTGCCTTGACAGTTGCAAATGTCATCTGGTTGGAATAGGATCTTGTATATCTGCAAATGAACAAGAAAATCAAATTTCACATTTCTAAATGTGCATGTCTGTCTGATGAAAATTAACGACACAAGCAAAAAAATAAAGTTTAATTTGAGAAGCTATACCCTGCAACTTGACCATCAAAACTCCATGGCCGCCATTCATCCACAATAGAATAATTTAGAGATTTTATCCAAAATTGAGTTGATTGGAATGGAATGCCCATATCATGATCGCCACTGTTTAAAGCAAAAATGCTATATGTAAAAGTGGAAAATGTCCAAATTTAATTTGCCCCAGTACTATATATGAAATTGCTCAACTTTATCTTTAGTTACACTTTTGATCTATTCATATCCTTACCGTTAGTAAATCGTCTCGTATTTGCCCTTCCCATTAACGAAGCTCCCGTGTAAAAGGGATGGACTCCGCATGTTCAAACTTCGAGAGAAAAGATTCAACTTTATATAATCCATACTTTTGACTTTAGTTTAAAATTACCCTTAGGTACTTGGAGCTCCATTAGGGATCAATGGCAAGAACACCACTTTTTTTCTAATGGCAAGGTTAATATTAGCTAGACCAAAAGCTTAACGGAAGTTAAAATTGCTCCATTTCGGATATAACAGGGGCAAATTCCACCTCTTTCTACACGTAAAATATAAATGTTTAATCATCTAACCTGTATATAAGTGATCGATAAAGTTTTTTGCTGAGTTCCACATGATAAGGTATGCTATCTTGGAAAGTAATAGTGTAAGTTTTATTCACGATACTTTCCCTACATCTTGTCCATCTTGTTATAGCTCCCTGCAGTATAAAACATAGTTAAATTAAATAGACAATGAGGTAACGTCAATTTAGTGTCTTTTTGTTGAAAGCATCCTTGTCTGAAGTGCTACTATGAAATAATTTTGTAGACGTACCTTACGAACATTAAGAGCTTCTTGTACTCTTGGATCATTTGCCCAGTAAGTAGACAACCTGTGTACCTCAACCTACAATTATGGACATAGGTTAAATCATTTAAAGAACACAATATATTTAGTTCATCAACATGTTATTTTATTTTATTTGTCTCTTTTTTCAAAACAATAACGTAGAAATAGCACCAAACAAAAAAAAACCATAGGTTTGAATGGACCTACTCGGCACTTAGTGGAATAATTTTCATAAAGAGATCTTCTTTTTCCAAATAATCGAAATGACCTTTTAGATTCTGCATCTGAACCACACGAGGGCTCTAGGATGTGTGGCTTATTGATTCCACTAATCAACTGCAATACGTAGTATATACCAGAATGTTAATATTAAAGCAAAACTATATGAGTTAAATTAATCCAAAATTATAATACTATATATACCTGTTCGAAAGTTTGGTAGTGTTGATAGCACAAAACATTGCTGGGGTNATATATTCTGATTTGTCATTTTCAGAGTACCATGTAAGCTAAATTAATTGCATTTATGATATGATAAATTTTAAAGTAAAGGATAAGAGTAGTAGCCTGATAAAGTTCGTCGGAGATAAGTCCCATTCCATGAGCATAAGGAACCCAGTAGTTATATTGAAGAGGAAACGTGCTAGGATTCCCAAGTATATATCCCTAAAACCAATTACTTAGCCGTCAAAACGACACTTCCCTAAAAGCAAATTATAATAAAGAAATTTCTTCTTAAGCAAAAAAGACCACAAACCTTAAGATTAATCGATGGCTTGTGCCCTGCTTCAATTCCTGCATTTTTACACACTTATTCCTTAGTGTGAGCATGAATAAGTGGATGTGGATTAAACTGGATTGTGTTAAATGAGTGGATTATTGTGTCAATTTTGAGTGGATTAAACTAACAAACCGATTGGGTCATAGCTCGTCCGGAGTCTGCTAAGGTAAAAAATTGCCAGATCAATTTGGACTAATGTATCGTAACTCAACCTACCAAACTCGTAATCATTTTCATTTCTCTATTACCAAATTAAAATAATAAAAGGGTTTTCTTTTATTTTATATCAAACAAATCATTAAAACTTACTTTTGGTTTTCTTTTACTTTATATCAAACAAATCACTAAAACTTACTTTTCTAACTTTTGAATTTCTGTCGTTTGGATCAATTTGCACTACAAGCTTTTTGACGTAAAAATAGCAAGATCTAGTCTGCTTTCGGACTGGTCATTCAAAGATAGCTAGCGTTTGCCAAGTCATTGAAAAATAACCATTATTTTGCTGCAACAGAGATCGGTCCAACATAATATATTGGAGTTCGGTGCACCTGTGTATGAACTTCCAGCATATTATGCTGGACCGGTATACTGTGCTAACTACAGTATAATATTGGATAGTGGAGCACCGGTGCTCCAAACTCCAGTAGATTATGCTGGATCGGTATATTATACTGGAACTCCAGAATATTAGACTGGAGTTCCAATATAATATACTGGAACTCCAGTATATAATGCTGGAGTATTTTTCCGGATTTTGAACAGTGTTTTCGTTCAGATTTATCTTTACATGAAAAGTGGCTAAAATTTGATTACTTTTGAAACTGTGACTATTTTTGAATGACCACCTGTAAATCTGACTATTTTTGAATTGGGATTTTTACCTATCTATACCATATATCAAAACTTATTACCCTCAATATTTAAGATTTGTGTTTATTACATTTAAGCATACCAAATTACCATTTCTATACCATATGGATATATGTTTAATCCAACCCGCTCTTGGCAGGCTATATTTTTTTGGGCTAAATTTGATATCCCTAGCTCCAAAACAAAAAGCAATAAAAGTATAATGTCACAGCAAAGGCTTCCAAGTGTAATAGGCGAAAAAAAATACGGGCAAAGATCACTTTTAACCCGCCGTCGAAACTATTTATTTTTGTAGCCGCAAAAATGTATAATACTTATATATTTTTTTGTATATAACATATTGAAATGTATATATATTTTTCATTTTTTTGGCTATTATTTTGAGAGTGGCTATACTGTGTCATTTTTCCCAAATACATTCTGGAATCAAATACTTAGATATTCTTTATGATGAAACTTTACATCACATATATCTTACCATTTGATATTAGTTGAGTGATAACTGGAACAGTGATGCCAGAATATGAATCTCCACCAATGTACATTGGATTCCTAATGAACTCTTGATGCTTAATCAACCACTATGTAAGAAAAAGAATACAATCAAATATTATAATTATCTACTTGTTTAATTTCTTTTTTTGAAACAAATTAATAGGTATGGTAGGTAGCATAAGAACTCTAATGTGTACCTTTCGCAAAAACTGGTAGATATGGTGGCATGCTTGTAGATCAGTAGACTTGAATGTTGTTGAAGTTGTTGCATAAGAGAAGCCACTATTCACAGGTTGATCCAAGAATATTATGTTAGCTACCTGACATTTTTAGATGTGGCCTTTCAAATTTACACTAAAATTCACTAGCAAATTAAATGACAAAATATATACTATTTCTTTAAATCCAACCTTGGTCCATGAGTTTGGATTCAATGTTAGCTTTGGAAGGCTCCCATTATACTCGTTTGGCTCAAAATACAAGGGCCCTATATATGCAAAAGGAATGAAGAAGCAGAAATTACCAAGTAGATATCACAAAGTAAAAATACCAAAAAGGAGTACTACATTTAGCAGTGATTATTTTAATCGAAATATTATTTTAAAAGAACAATTAGTATCAAGGGAATTTAACATCTGTTATGTATAATAATAAAAAAAATTGACCGTGTATATATTTTTTCCGCGAAGGGAATTCTGATGAACCCTTTGCAACGCCCATGGTTAGAATGTAGTAAGAAACAAAAAAAAGGGAGTACCTATTTGATAAACAAGTGCAGTAAAGGAAGAGCAACCAGGTCCTCCTGAGAGCCAAATCAAAATAGGATCTTTTGTGGGTTCTGATTCTGATTTAAGAAAATAATAAAAGAGCTGCACTTCTTCATATTCACCTACTCCAATATACCTGCGGGCAACGTTAGCCAACGACCATCTTAGAGAGACATCAAAACAAATACACTTAAATCAGTTTCGAAATAGTTTTAAGTTTGATTTTGCAGTTTAATTAGCAGATGCAGTATCTGTAAAAAATAATTAATTAGTATAAATTAAACGAGCATTCTGTTAGGGGCAGAGCTAGAAGCCCGGGTATGGCTTCATTAACTTTTGCTCAACCACTGTATTTATGTTATGAAATTTATTAAATATGTACAAATTAAAGCATTAGTTAATCAATTCTCATTGTCTCGCTTCCTGATCTCTCCCTTCCATAAAATAAATTGAAAAAAATTAGAAATGTTAAGGATGTAGGGGTAGAAGGGGAAAAGAACTTACCCAGTCTCAAGATGGAAAGGAAGTGGACCTTCAAATCCAGGAAGAAATTCAACGGTAGAGTGAGAAGCAGCAGCATGTTGTGGTAGGACAACAACTCTATAAAACAGCAAAAAGAAGTTGATGATGGACACAAGTGAAATAATANTATATATATATATATGTGTGTGTGTGTGTGTGTCTAACTTAATTTCAACGAAAATAGAAAAACCAAGCAGGGAATTAAAGATGCAAGTATTAATGGAGTAGCAGGTGCATCAATAATTGCTACTAAACTCTAATATATTATCATAAAAATATGGTTGGGGTCCAGCCCCAATTGCTTCAAGAATTACATATATTTATTTTTAAAACATTTACTACTTTCTTTAATGCTACTTGGAGGCCAACCCCTTAATCCTTATGCTATAAATAAACTCACTTCTTAAAAATCAAGCAAGTAGAACAAAAATAATTCGCAGAAAAAATAGAGAATGTGAGCGGTATTATAATGAGATATATCTCAAAGTAATATTTTATCTTTTAAGTCATGTTAGTAATCTCTTGAGTACTTAACTATATTTTCTCATATTGAGAAGGATTTTTCATACTAAAATCTTGATATTTATATTTTCTTGTTTGTTATCGTTATAGTTACAGTGTTTAATGTTTATTCTGTATTATTATAATTTACGGTGAATATTATATCTGTGTACTATTTAACATAGGAAATGCAATGATAGATAGAGTTAAAATTATTGGTCCATCTATAAAGCAGAAAATAATGAATGAGAAGGTGGGCATTATCTCGAGTCTTTGTGTTTGGTAGTAGGTCTCTTTCCAAGTTCTAGTGACAATGGAAAGTGGTCGTGACTCATGTTCTTTGTGTACTTTTCTTTTTGGATTTAAGTTGCTCCAGCGTTTTGATAGGGTAAAGAATTCTTATATTATTAAGTTAATTTCATCGATTGTAGCTACCTTAGGTTACTATATCATGCTTGCTATGAATACTTATCACATAAATATTATTGAGTAAAATATGTTTGGGTAAATGGGAGAATGCTTTACCTGGTGAAAAAAAATAGAAAGATTATTCCAGTAAATATTATTGACGGCTTATTTAAGAAAAAAAAAACATCTTGCAAAATTCGTAAATTGGATGATCATTTGAAAAATTCAGAAGTTTAACGGGTGATAGTGGCATGCCACATCATCTTTCGAGTGCCGTAAAATTGATTTTCCATTTCTGGGAAGGTTAAAAAATTTAATAATGACTTTATTTGGTTAATTTCATGACCATTTAAGCAATTAACTTTGTTAAGATATCCACCCTCCGAACAAGGCCAGAAATTCTGGAGGCTTAGATTGGAGCAATATGGCCTCCTCACCGTGGACAGTAATTACTTTATATATGTCATCCATTAGACAAAGGAAAACAACAGAGAGATCGAGAGTGAAGCATATCTTGGTACTATATAATAGGGTGAGTGACAAAATATTACTAGCAATATTTTAAAAAGGGAATATTCCAAAGTTACAATTCTTTTATAAAGGAATTCATGGGCAGTGCTCAAGAAATTTGCAAAACTAGAAGTAGATTATGGATTACCTCAGCCTCACTATAAAAAAACTAGCATATTAAGAACTACCCACATGAATTATTTTCTCGGAATGAGCTACTCCAAACTCTAGTAACATGGTGCCTATTCACAAGCTCGTTTTCTTTTTGGCATGCTATTATTCTCGAGAACGCTAAAAAAAGAAGGCGAGCTTGTGATTAGTCATTAGCTCACTGCGGCTGAGTCCATTTTGGAATATAAGAAAAGTTACTTGAAAGAGTACTGGTGAGAAAAGTGGAAGAGAAGAAATGTAACATTTATAGTAGCGAGAGCCTCTGTATATGACTATGAAAGCAACTATCTTCTCAAATTCTTGTAAATTAAATCCTTTAATTAGAAACATAGCAGCCATTGCGCGTGGTTGCCTTACTTGACTAAATACGCGATTGATTATTGGACAGTCGATATATAGTACAGCAACTTTGCAAGATTCCCTTTAAAAATGTTATCTTGTTACTCGCTCTGTTAATATAGTATCGATAAATATTAAAGGCCGGAAAAGATGTTTTGGAGGTTCATGATTGTATGAAACACGGTTTTGAATTTATATGTTGTGTAACTATTGGATTGCGCAACGACTACCCTATTAATAATACAACTTAATTATTATATAGTGATTTCAGGAGATATCATAAATATCAAGGCACTAATATAGTCATATCATCATCGAATTTACAAAATTATATTTTTGAATTTGTATACAGGTAAAACCGAGCCCGATGCTCGATCGGGCATCTGAAGCAATAGACCGAAGTCGGCACATCCATATCTGGGTAGAAATCAAAGTCACGGTAACACCGATCTCGAGATCGAAGTTCGGGTTCGATCTAATGTCCAACATAATCAGCTGAATCGGAATATGATAAATATCGGACTCGAAAGCAATATCGAAGCCAGCCATCGAAATCATCAGACTTGCCCCGAGTTTGTCGAGGACGTAACCGATCCTATTCTTAACAGCCTCGAAGAAAAGACCTGCCAACTCCGCCGACAGGGATCCGTAATTCTCGCCATTTAACTAATCATTATGGCATAAATTACGGGATTGGCCAAAAATAGAGCCAATAGTCTACTAAATCAAGATTATTGTTTCTTATAATATACTACCTAAAAAGGTAGGTTTTCCCCAGTAAATAGAGGGAACTGAGTTATTCATGGACAAATTGTAATACAGATCAAAAGCAATATATTGTTAGTTCTAGCTTCAGCTCATTTTGGCTCTGCCTTTCATAATATCATTGTTTTTTGCTAAAAGGAAATCAATCTCATAAGGCTAAGATTTGCTCAAGTTGTGAAGATCGAATCTATCTTTCTATTGTTTATTTCTACGTTAATCTAATTTCTCGCTCTTGTATCAATTCATATCACGTATCCTTAAAACCGTGTATAATTTAATTGCTATCCGATTTCAAGGGTAAACAGTTTGGCCCCATCGTGGGGCTGAGGATAATAGTGGTTGTTTGGTACAAGCCTACATAACACACTACCTTACACTTGCTCTTGGAAGTATCTTTCATTTCGGGCTAAAAATGGCAAACTGACAATTAGCACCCTAACATATCGACAACGGGTCTGGTCATCAAGAAGAGAATATCAACATGGTGCTCAGTAACGTAGGGCCACCCACTGATGTCGTTGGAATTCGGGTCGCAGAGCCGATTGATGTAAATTCACGTGTGGCCATCGACATAAACTTGCATACCGACCCTGAAAATAGAGTTCATGGTGGAGCCTGATCGGTTGCTCGAAACACACAAAATATTGAAGAAAACGGGATCGGTCTACGCATGATTTTCGAAATGCTGCAAGCCCAACAGGTGCTGATAGCTCAGTTGCAAAGCCGCCAGGCTCCGAGCAGGGTCGAACTTGATTCGCCATGAGAAGTCACCCGCAGAACAGAATCAGCCGTAGTAAGGTCGACTGAACAAGAGTCAGGCACCAACCGCGAAATAATAAAGATGCTCGAGGAGCTAACAAAGCGGGTGGAATTAGGGAAAAAGAAAATCGAAGCAAACAACAAGAAGGTCGAAACCTATAACTCCAGGGTAGATCAAATCCTGGGAGAACCCCCCAGTATTGAAGGGATTAGATGCCAAGAAGTTCGTGCAAAAACCTTTTCCTCCAATCGCGGCCCCAAAACATATCCCCAATAAGTTTTGTATGCCCGAAATACCTAAATATAACGGGACGACTGATTCAAACGAGCATGTAACCTCTTATACATGTGCTATCAAAGGAAACGACTTGGAAAACGATGAGATCGAGTCTGTTCTACTGAAATAATTTGGGAAGGTCCTGTCAAAGGGAGACATGATATGGTATCACAACTTACCCCCTAATTCTATTGACTCATTTGCTATGCTTGAAAATTCTTTCGTAAAAGTACATGCAAGTGCCATCAAGGTCAAAACCAGGAAATCGAACCTTTTTAAAGTTAAATATAAGGATAACGAGACGCTCAGGGAATTCATGTTCCGTTTTCAAATGGAATGGATGGATCTGCCGCCGGTCATTGATGATTGGGTTGTTCAGGCTTTCACTCAGGGACTCAATATTCGAAGTTCTATTTTTCACGGCAATTGAAGCAAAATTTAATAGAATACCCTGCCACTACCTGGGCCGATGTACACAATCGGTATCAATCAAAAATCAGAGTCGAAGATGGTCAATTCGGAGCCTCTTTGGAGTCTTTTTATCCCACCAGGACCCTCAAATGAATCAACAGAGACACCGATCACGATCCAGGATCAAACATAGATCGATATTAGCCACATAATAAAGATCGGAGGAGCAGCGGATCCAGTCGAAACCATGTAAGAAATGAAAGGAGAAATGATCGAGGTCTAAACAGTCGAGGGCTCATAACCAAAAACGCCTTCGACATGTCCATTGGGCCTAAAGAAGCTCTGAGGCTATCAGAGTACAATTTTAGTACCGATACAACCACCATCAAATTAGCCATTGGGCAAATCAAGGACGCCAAATGGCCTCGACCTCTACAATCCGATCCAGCTCAAAGGGATCCCCGCCGGGTGTGCAAATATCATGGAACTCACGATCATAGAATGGAAGATTGTCGACAATTGAGAGAAGAAGTTGCCCGACTATTCAATAATGGGTATCTTCGAGAATTCTTGAGCGACCGAGCCAAAAATCATTTCAAAGATAGGGATTCTAACGGACAAATGAAACAAGAAGATACCAAACCTTAACACATCATTAATATGATCATTGGTGGAGTCGATACCCCACATGGATCAATGTTGAAACACACCAAAATGTCCACCACCAGGGGGAAGCGGACTCGAGATTACAGATCGGAAGGAATATCTTTCAGCAATGAGGATGCAAAGGGGATCATACAATCTCACAATGACGCACTGGTAAAACCTGTACTAGTAAATAAAACTAGAATTAAACGTGTGTTAATTGATCCAGATAGCTCAGCCAACATTATTCCGTCGATGGTCATAGAACAGCTCGGTCTACTAGACAAGATCGTGCCCGTGGTCTGAGTGCTGAATGGGTTGAACATGGCATGTGAAACTAGTAAAGGGGAGATCACATTACTAGTCAATACCGCAGGAGTCATACATGAGGCCAAGTTTTATGTGATCGAAGGGGACATGAGGTACAACACCCTTCTCGGGAGGCCATGGATCTACCACATGAGGGCAGTATGCTCAACTCTTAACCAAGTGCTAAAATTCCTAGTCCCGGAAGGGATTAAGACAATCTATGGGGAACAACCGGCAGCAAAGGAAATGTTTGCCGCCGAAGAAAAGATTCTGATATCGACACTCACAACATCGAAGGAACCAAGTTTGAGCTCGGATCCCAAGACTAATTAGCAATTACCGATACCGGCCTCGACCCAATCGGACAAGCAAAAGACTTATGAGGACGACGATTACGGTGTCCCTCGATCTTTTATAACACCCTATGACTCCGACGCTACCAAATCAACAACCGAAGAGCTAGAGCAGGTGACATTGATCAAGCATCTGCCCGATCGAAAGCTATACCTGGACACAGGGTTAACTCTCGAGATCAGGAAATTTTTTTATTCAATTTCTCATAGTTAACATCGATTATTTTGCTTGGTCCCATCTTGATATGGTAGGGATCCCACCGGAGCTAACCACTCACAAGCTGAGCTTGGACCCAAAAATCACTCCAGTCAAACAAAAGAGGAGACCCCAATCCAAAGTAAAACATGCTTTCATCAAGGACGAGGTATCTAAACTCCTTAAAATAGGGTCAATTCGGGAGGTTAAATACCCAAAATGGTTAGCAAACAGAGTGGTAGTCCCTAAAAAGGGAACAAAACAAGAATGTATGTAGATTATAAAGATTTAAATAAGGCATGTCCCAAAGACTCTTTCCCTTTGCCCAACATCGATCGCATGATCGATGCCACGGCCTGCCACGAGATCCTCAATTTTCTCGACGGCTATTCCGGGTATAACCAAATAGGATGAACCCGAACGACTAGGAAAAATCTTCCTTCATCACTAAACACGACATGTACTGCTATAACATAATGCCATTTAGATTAAAAATACCGGTGCCACTTATCAACGTCTAGCAAATCGGATGTTCGAGGAAAAAATAGGAAAAACTATGGAAGTTTATATTGATGATATATTTGTAAAGTCCCTGCGAGCAGAGGACCATTTAAAATATTTGCAGGAAACCTTTAGTATATTGAATAAGTACAACATGAAGCTGAACCCAGAAAAATGTGTCTTCGTGGTCGGATCAAAAAAATTCCTTGGGTTCATGGTATCCGACCGAGGAATCGAGATTAACCATGATGATATCAAGGCTATCGAGGACATCACTATAGTCGATAACATAGTGGCCGTACAAAGGCTAACCGGGCACATTTCCGCCCTGAGGCGATTCATCTCGAGGTCCTCCGATAAAAGCCATCAATTTTTCTTGTTGTTGAGAAGAAAAACAACTTCACATGGAACCCGAAATGCCAACAGGCCTTGGAGGGACTTAAGAATTATCTTTTGAGCCCTTCACTACTTCACACTCCGAGGGTGGATGAACAACTATACTTGTATTTGGCAGTGTCGGATATAGCGGTAAGTGGAGTCCTAGTTCGGGAAGAACGAGGTTTGCAATTTCCAATTTATTATGTTAGGAGGACCTTTGGTGATGCTGAAACTAGATATCCTCACTTAGAAAAATTGTATCTCGCTTTGCTAAGTGCCTCTAGGAAACAGAATCCATATTTCAAGTGCCATCCTATATGTGTTGTGACAATTGAACCATTACGAAATTTAATGCATAAACCCAAACTCTCGGGACGATTGGCCAAATGAGCCATAGAAATTAGCATGTACGATATTGAGTATCGACCCCGGACATCCATTAAGTCTCAAATATTGGCAGATTTTGTTGCCGACTTTACACCGACCCTAATACTCGAGTTCGATAGAGAATTGATGGTTAACTCGAAAAAGTCCTCGGGAATTTGGACCCTATTTACAGATGGCACCTCGAACGTAAAGGGTCCCGAACTCAGCATCGTGTTAAATCTACTCTTGGGAAACGTAATTAGAAAATCCATTAGAACTGTGAAATTGACTAACAATGAGGCCGAATATGAGGCCATGATTGCAGGTCTCAAACTTGCCAAAAGTTTGGGAGCAGAGGTGATCGAGGTTAAGTTTGACTCCACCCTTGTGGTGAACCAAGTTAATAGGACGTTCAAACTCAGAGAAGAACAAATGCAAAGATATCTAGACAAATTGCAGGTGGCACTGCACCGGTTCAAAGAATGGGCCTTACAGCATGTGCCTCAAGATTAGAATAGCGAGGCCGATGCCCTTGCAAACTTAGGGTCATCGGTCGAAAATGACGAGCTCAACTCGGAGGCAGTTGTACAACTAAGGAGATCAGTGGTAGAAGGAGGCCATGCCAAAATAAACTCTACAAGCCTAACTTGGGAATGGAGAAACAAATACATAGTATATTTGAAAACAAGGAAATTAACCTCAGATCCAAAAGAATAGAGGGCCCTGCGTGCATAAGCAGCCCGATTCAGCCTATCCAAGGAGAGATCTTGTTTAGAAGAATGTTCAATGTCCCGCTAGCTATATATGTGGGACCAGGAGATACCGACTATGTTCTGAGGGAAATCCCTGGGGGCACCTACGGAAGTCACTCCGGTGCCGAATTATTGGTCCAAAATATAATCAGAGCCGGTTATTATTGGATCGATATAGAAAAAGACGTGAAGGAGTTAATACAGAAATGTGATGGATGCCAGAGACATGCTCCGTTGAATCACCAGCCTGGGGAACCGCTGCATTCGATCTTGTCACCATGGCCATTCATGAAATGAGGAATAGACATTGTTGGCCCCCTTCCACGGGCACCAGGTAAGGCTCAATTTATTTTATTTATGACTGACTATTTCTCTAAGTGGGTTGAAGCTTAAGCATATGAGAAGGTCAGGGAAAAGGAAGTCATCGATTTTATTTGGGACCATATCATATGACGGTTCGGGATGCCATCTAAAATCGTATGTGACAATGGGAAATAATTTATCGGCAGCAGAGTCACCAAGTTTCTTGAAGACCATAAAATCAAAAGAATCTTATCGACACCTTACCACCCCAGTGATAGAATGGACAAGCGGAGTCGACCAATAAAACTATAATCCAAAACCTTAAAAAGAGGTTGACCGATGCCAAAGGGAAATGGAAAGAGATCCTGCTCGAAGTTCTTTGGTCATATCGCATGACCTCAAAATCCAGTACCGGGGCTACCCCATTCTTATTGGTTTATGGCACCTGTCGTGCCCCTTTTTTCCTCACAGAGTCTGGGTTTCGACATTCATTGGGAACAACTCATTTTCT